TGTTGGCAATTGTTTACTTCATCCAACAGTATCGCCCATATCTGTACGGTCGGCATTTCACCGTCCGCACAGATCATGCGGCACTACAGTATGCCCTGCGAGTTCAACAACCATCGGGACAGTTGTCTCGATGGTTGGAGGTTCTCCAGGACTTTGATTTTGCAACCACCTACCGTAAGGGCGTTCGCCATACCAACGCGGACGCTCTGTCGCGCATGCCAACCACCTCGGAATGTGCATGCCTCCTGGGGTCGGGACGTTGCAGGCCTTCAGGGGACGCATCGGTTCCGATCTTGGCAGCCACCGACGACGACGAACCCCTGCCTAATAATTCGATCGAACAACAGGGAAGAGATTCCCTGTTGGGGTTGCCCGTCACTGAATGGGGGCGCCTCCAAATGGAGGATACCTCCCTCCTCGGGTGGCGTCGTCGCGTCGGGGGTGCTGGGCGGGTGAAAGGTGATTCAGATGCATGGCAAATGGTGAAAGGTCTGCTCATGCATTGGGACGGCAAATCCCAGCGACATCGGCTGGTGGTCCCCTCTGAGTTGCGAGGCAAGGTGGTGTGGGCCGCGCATGAGCGCCTATTACACCTGGGGACCCAAAAGACCCTTGCACTGCTACAACTTGATTTTTTTGGCCTGGTATGACGAGGGATGTTGGGGATCTATTGGGATCATGCCCTTGATGTGCGCAACGGAAACCGCCGGCGCGGGAGTCTAACCCGCCCTTGCAATCGATCAAGGTATCCAGAATAAATGAGCTTGTTGCGCTGGACATTTTGGGCCCATTTCCCGCCACTCCCAGGGGCAATAGGTATTTGTTGACAGGTGTCGAGTATTTTACCGCGCTGGCCCATGGCCTGGCCCCTTGCCAACCAGTCGGCACCAGCCATCGTGGAGGCCTTTGTTCAGGGATACGTCCTGGACAAAGGTGCTCCGGAGCGGCTGCTGACCGACCAGGGCAGAAATTTTTCCAGTAAATTACTTAAACAAGTCTGTGACCTCTTAGGCACGAAGAAAATTCGGACCTCCCCGTATCACCCGCAGACTGACGGAATGGTCGAGCGCCTGCATCGCACCATTTCGTCAATGATGTCACAGCAGGTCTCAGATTCGCAGACTGATTGGGACCTGCATATTCAAGGGGTCTTGGCGGCATACCGGATGGCACCCCATGCAGCTACGGGATTTTCCCCTTTTACCTCATGTACGGTCGCGAACCCGACCCGCCTGTTCGCGCCCAGCTGCAGATCCCCGACCCGCAAGGAAAAACTAAATTGGCTGACCACGTCAAATTTAATCTGGCCAAATTAACAGAGGCGCGGGATGCTGCTATGTTGAACTCGGAACTCCGGCAAAAGGCGAATGAGCGCCTCAGGCTGGGTCGGGCGCACGTGATACAGTAGAAGCCGGGGGACAAGGCATGGTTGCACTGTCCCCAAGTGCCCCTGGCTACCTCCCCTAAGCTAGTGCGGCCGTGGCGGGGCCCTGTGGAGGTGGTCGAAGTTTTGCGACCACAGTGCGTGCGCATTAAATGGAGGAAGCGGCGTTGGTTCGTGCACCCCTCTAGGTTAAAGCCCTTCGTTGCGGTACACAAACCCACTTCACACATGCGTGGCCAAACGTGTGGGGGGTCGACCGACTCACTGGGTCCGTCTCCGCCGTTCTCACCTAATGCCTTGCCGGCCGTGCCACCTCCAGGTGCATCAAGACTGACGGGCTCACGCCCGACCACTCCTTCTGGGGATACCAACGGTCACACGGCATCGGAGGAGGTCCCGCTCCGGGACGGACAATTACCACCTGACGGTCCGCCACCCGGGTTACCCCGTGTGAGGGGCCCGCTGCAAGGACGCGCGCAAAAATGCGCAGACTGTTGTGAGACCGGAAGATGTGTATATAGGTTGTGTTCACCTGGTGTTGTGTGTATGGTGGGTTCCCTGCAAATTGTATATAGCTTGTTTTTTTACGGAATTCGTATTTATTCAAGGGGGGGTGCGTCGGGTTGTTTTCTCTTCTTGCTGTTGCATTTTGTTGTGTTCTTGTTGCCGTTCTTGTTATTGTTGAAAATTAGTGAGGCACACGCGCGGTTACGGTATAAATTCATTTTTATTGTCATTTTGTATGTTGGCAGCCGGGACGGCTGCGAGCTATGCGGGGGGGGGTGATGTAGGAGTGTTAAAGAGAGGGCCCGTTATGTATGGCAGTCTATGGGAAACAAACACAGTGGGCGGGGCTACGTGTGTGCACAGGGAGATGCCCTCTGCGACGTCCGAGCCAGACACCCTGGGGGGGGCTGGTTTGGCGTTATGATCCCCCGGGGCCCCACCCCTCAAGGAGGGGTTGGGTATAAAAGGGGACGTTATAGGGGCTCGAGTCAGTTATGTTAAAAGCTAACCAAGAAGACTGAAGACGTCTTAGATAGAGCCCTGGACTCCCCTCGTTCGATGTCCTTGTCAGGGCCGAACAGGACTGAGCCAGCGGCGTGGTCCCGAGAGCCAGAGCCGGTGCTCTTCTAAGAGCTGGTCTGGGACTCCGGGTACCGGGCCCGACTTACCAGTGTCGAGCCAAGTAGCCTCCCCTAGCCCAATAGTGGAGGACTGTGAGGCAGGCTAGGACTAGCTAGGAAGTGTATCCTTAGCTAGTCGGGTGAGGGGGCCGCTACCCCCTCCAGTGCTGTATGTCACAAACCGAGTTGTGTTAAATAAATATACGTGTGCCTCCACCTCGGCGTCAAGTGTCTTCACCGGTACTTCACATGTGAGTGTTTAGTGGAGGTGTGCGTGAGTGTTTAGTGGAGGTGTGCGTGTGTTTAGTGGGGGTGCATGTGCATGTTTAGTGGGGGTGCATGTGAGTGTTTAGTGAGGGTGCATGTGAGTGTTTAGTGGGGGTGTGTGTGTTTAGTGGGGGTGCATGTGTGTGTTTAGTGGGGTTGCATGCGAGTGTTTAGTGGGGGTGGCGTGTGTGTGTTTAGTGGGGGTTCATGTGAGTGTTTAGTGGAGGTGCATGTGAGTGTTTAGTGGAGGTGCATGTGAGTGTTTAGTGGAGGTTCCATGTGAGTGTTTAGTGGGGGTGCATGTGAGTGTTTATTGGGGGTGCATGTGAGTGTTTATTGGGGGTGTGCATGTGTTTAGTGGGGGTGCATGTGAGTGTTTAGTGGGGGTACGTGCGTGTGTTTAGTGGGGGTGCATGTGAGTGTTTAGTGGGGGTGCATGTGAGTGTTTAGTGGGGGTGCATGTGAGTGTTTAGTGGGGGTGAGTGTTTAATGGGGGTGCATGTGAGTGTTTAGTGGGGGTGCATGTGCGTGTTTAGTGGGGGTACGTGCGTGTGTTTAGTGGGGGTGCATGTGTGTTTAGTGGGGGTGCATGTGAGTGTTTAGTGGGGGTGCATGTGTGTTTAGTGGGGGTGCATGTGAGTGTTTAGTGGGGGTGCATGTGAGTGTTTAGTGGGGGTACGTGCGTGTGTTTAGTGGGGGTGCATGTGTGTTTAGTGGGGGTGCATGTGAGTGTTTAGTGGGGGTGCATGTGAGTGTTTAGTGGGGGTGCATGTGAGTGTTTAGTGGGGGTGAGTGTTTAATGGGGGTGCATGTGAGTGTTTAGTGGGGGTGCATGTGCGTGTTTAGTGGGGGCGCATGTGAGTGTTTAGTGGGGGTGCATGTGCGTGTTTAGTGGGGGTGCATGTGCGTGTTTAGTGGGGGTGCATGTGCGTGTTTAGTGGGGTGCATGTGAGTGTTTAGTGGGGGTGCATGTGCGTGTTTAGTGGGGGTGCATGTGCGTGTTTAGTGGGGGTGCATGTGCGTGTTTAGTGGGGGTGCATGTGCGTGTTTAGTGGGGGTGCATGTGCGTGTTTAGTGGGGGTGCATGTGAGTGTTTAGTGGGGGTGCATGTGCGTGTTTAGTGGGGGTGCGTGTGCGTGTTTAGTGGGGGTGCGTGTGCGTGTTTAGTGGAGGTGCGTGTGCGTGTTTAGTGGGGGTGCATGTGAGTGTTTAGTGGGGGTGCATGTGAGTGTTTAGTGGGGGTGCATGTGCGTGTTTAGTGGGGGTGCATGTGAGTGTTTAGTGGGGGTGCATGTGCGTGTTTAGTGGAGGTTAATGTGCGTGTTTAGTGGGGGTGCGTGTGCGTGTTTAGTGGAGGTGCGTGTGCGTGTTTAGTGGGGGTGCATGTGCGTGTTTAGTGGGGGTGCGTGTTTAGTGGATGTGCGTGTTTAGTGGGGGTGCGTGTGAGTGTTTAGTGGGGGTGCACGTGCGTGTTTAGTGGGGGTGCGTGTGAGTGTTTAGTGGGGGTGCATGTGCGTGTTTAGTGGGGGTGCATGTGCGTGTTTAGTGGGGGTGCATGTGAGTGTTTAGTGGGGGTGCATGTGAGTGTTTAGTGGGGGTGCATGTGCGTGTTTAGTGGTGGTGCATGTGAGTGTGGAGGTGTGCGAGGAGAGAGCAGCGCCGGCCGAGTTTCTCCGCTACGGTTGCACCACAGGAACATTCTGTGGAAACTATTGCCAGTGATGATTGTTGACAACAATTGCTATGAAATCTTCGCAGTCGATCACAGCCTATGAGGTGTGGTCTTGGTCGTGAAGTCTGTTGTGCTGACGCTACCGACGGCAGTATCGTGCTCTTATTCTGTCCTCGGCTTCTTGTGGTGCTCACAAGGGGCCGGCATTCCACCCCACTCCCTTCCCAGCAACTCAACTACTCTCATTGCGAGACCACTATTCGATTCCGGATCATATAATTTGTATGGTCTTGTTATCATTCGTATTGTTTCTCAATTATTCTCCGTTTAACGATGAAATGTAATAACTTATTACGTTTTGTGTGCTCTGTTAGCTGCGGTCTCGCGTGGTAGGGGTGGCTCGCAAACCAATCTGCCGCACCGGTGTCACATTGACCAATCACCACCATGGGCCTAAATGTCAAATATATTGAACGATTGGAAATAATAACTTCTCACGCATGCAACTCGGCGCTTTTATCAGGTGCGTATCGCGTGGCGTGATTACCAATCGTGCAGTTAGGGTCGAAGCTAGTTTTGTTTTGTTTATTAAAGTTGGGGCCTGGTCCGGTCGGCCCAAGTGCGTGTCGAGTCCGGGCTCTGCTCGGTTCGGGGTACTGCTGGTGCCACCACGCTTGTGAAGCCGGCACTGGTGTCTCTCCGCAGCTTGAGCGAGCGCTACGAGGAGGGGATGACAGTGCGAGCCGAGGCTCTAGTCAACTCCGGCAGGCGGCTGGTACAGAGGTACGAGCAGGAGAAGAGCCGTCTCGCCGACGGGCTGCTCCACCCACGCTTGCACGGATGGCCGGATGACGTCGCGGCCACCGAACGGCCAAACCACCAACCCGACGGACGACCCCCACCCGACCGCCAGCCCACGGGTACCCCCACCGAGTAAATGACCCAACACGCATCATCCTGACACACTGACCAAATAACTTACAGACCGATAATTCGCCACCCCATCCTATGACCCAATAAAATACTTTCGCAACAATATATATGAACCCGACACCCGACTTGCCCACCCTCTGACTCTATAAGACACCGTGGCCAATACAATACACCGAATTTGGTGAAACTCTGACCCATCAATCGACTCATTTGACTTCGAGCCTATCCACCGGATCACCAGCTGACCTACTGATCCAATAAACACTCTAACCTGGTAACTTACTGCCAAAATACTGATCCACCAAATGACCCTATAACCTTGCCAGCTAGGCTCAAGACTCACGACCAGCTGATCTAATAATCCAAAAACCCACTGTCCCACCAGGCTATCCCCGCTATGAAGGAGGGACCGGTATTATAAATTAATGTTGTGTTTTTGTTCCGCGTTTAGGCACCACTGCCATTACTTGGCCATAAACGTGTTTAAGCCCAGGAGTGTCTGTGCACTCATCTTTCCCAAATGGAAGCTGCTCGTGGTGGAGGCAACATGTCACGTCTGGCAACGCAAAACTAGTTTAGCACCAATGGATTTGACTTAAACCACTCGTGCACAAGACCAGTTGAAAAATTATCCTGACATTTTTATAAATTAATACTCACCGTGAGGAGGGTAGTTCCTTAAACAGCATGCTCGAAGTGGTCGAGTGACACGGACGTATGTTCTCCTGTACGTGCATTACACGTAGTTATGTTCTCCTGTAAACGAGGGCTACTCCTTGGAAAATGCGCACAACGCACGCTGCGCTCCCACGGTTTCATCTTTACATGTCACAGCGATCTGCAGGTTCTGCGCTTGTTTAGCTTGAGGCTGTAGTCATCGCCGCGATGCCGCGAGGGAGTCTGCTGAGTGAGCTCCTGCGCCCCGTTATCAATCAAAGTCCCCCATGCAACTTGGCCACCTGGATATCACTCATGCATCATGGCCACTATGAAATCTTCAATGAATCATGGCCACTGTGACATCCACCATGCAACATGGCCATCGTGATGTTCCACCATTCACCATGGCCCTCTGTGACATCCCTCATTCCTGTTCTTACCTTGCGGTGATTTGATGCAGATGGAGGCGGTGCCCTCTGAGGACAGCGCCCTCCACGTGGTACAAAATTCGCCCTCATTCCTCGCCTCTCCAGATTGGCTCATCTACACACACTCAAAGACAAAGGTCCACCACATAGGCTTTAGCAAGATGTGGGGGATAGTGCAAGCGGCGAGCACTGAGCCAGGATCTCTGAGATCCTGGGCTCCACATTCAGGAGGGTCCTGCTGAGATGTCAGTTCTCAGCGTTCGGATATTTGGCCAATGTCAGATGTCACACTTGGATTAACAATGAGACACGTGTGTATTTAAAGGACACACGCAGGTTAATGGCATCCTTCAAACTGTTAAGAGAAGTAGGGCTGGGCCAGGACATGCCACGGCCACGAGGAACAACGATGGCTGATGGTCAAGAACAATAACGGAGGTGCAGCCAAGTATCGGAACACGTCTGAGAGGACGGCTGCTAGAAAGATGGAGCGACAAAATCGGTGCTTGGTGGATTATTCCATCGCATGATCGTGAGGGGTAGCAGGGTCTCAAGGAAGGAGGCCTTCATCCAGTAGTGGATAGATAAAAGTACAGTAGATTATTAAAACGTAGAAAGGCAGGTACACAGAGAGGATCTTGAGGAGATACTCTGATAGATGCACACACACTCAGGCAGCCAAGCAGATGCACACTTAGGTGTATGGATAGGTGACAGGTAGCCACACGCGGAGTGGAGAGCACACGTCCATTAATACTTCACCACACGAGTCGTAGAGCCACACGTACCTCCATGGTGGCCAATTGCAGAGCAGGGTGCACAGAACTAACAGCGTCTCTCGCGCAGTCCAGGTCTCTGTGTGCGAAGCAGGAGACGAAGCCGAGGATCACATAGAGTCGAGGGGGTGTGACGGCACCCACATCTCAACACGAGTCAAGTCACAATGCGGACTCACACCATGAACCCACATCATCAACACAGACTCACATCATCACCAATCACTCACAACACGAAACACAAAAACAACAACCGACATTCGCCACTTAGTAGCGATGATGTCACCACGGACGCCTTTGCCAGGCCAGGTGCACTTTCAGGCCACACGAAGTGTCGAAGGCTCGCTGACAAGACGTCACGAGACAGACCCAGGTTCCAAAGGTTGGCTGAGATGCTTGGTAGATACACCAGCTGTATGCCCAACTGTGCCAACTTACCGAATTTTATCCGCCACTCGTTGTGAGCGTCACTCCTCTGCCCTCAGTTGTTGTTGGAGGCAGTCTGCCTCCAACTGTCCAGTAGCCTCCTTCACGAGCTTCCTCGTGAATGATGCTATTTACACCGCTGGTACCAGTCTTTCACAAGTCTACTCAACTCAACATCCTCCCATACAGCATCAGTCCATATTTTCGACAGCCCATGTCGTGGCCGTTTAGCCCCCTTTATGCGGCCAAAAAGAAACCGCTTGGGTATGCGGGCTACAAGACCCAGCCAACGCAGCCTTGCCTGCCGGAGGAGCTTACTGGTGGGAATGTGTCCAGATCCTTCAAGGATTTGTGAGCTCCTCACACAATCCAGCTAGGTTAAACACAGGATGGCTCGTTGGAACCACCACCGACACCATCACCAACACCACTAACACCATCAACATCACCACCAACAACACCAGTACCACCACCAACAAGAATATCACCATCATCAACACCGTCACCAGCACCACCAACAACACCAACAGCACCACCACCAACAACACCAATAGCACCACCATCAACACCACCATCAACACCACCACCATCAACACCACCAACAACACCACCACGAACAACACATATAAATATCCTCCTTATAGCTGAAATAAACTGTTGGGGCAAGTGCTGTTAGCCAGCATCACCTATGAAGGCCGGAAAAGCACACGAGGGCGTGGGTGGCCAACACCGCGCCTTTGTCTCCGAGTGGCGATATTTACACACCACACTAGGTACTCATTTGAGGCTGAGTCGACCTAGGGGAGGCCCAGGACCGGTTCATATAATCGTCACTGGTGTTGACAGCGCGTTAACCACTCCACACACACACAGACTCACACACGGATACAAACACACACGGACTCACACAAACACAGACTCACACCACACACACAGACTCACACCACCGTACCACCCACCCACAGCGAAGATCCACTCCTCACCTTCGCCAGAGTTTCTCCCCGCCTCTCTCACGGACAAACTGCCAGGGGGAAGCGCGTGGCTCGAGACGAGGGGGCGGTACCAGGTGACCACGCCCACCGAGACGTGGAGCCCTGAGCCCCTCGCCCCGCCCCCCCCCATGCCCACCCCCCGCCCCCTCTCCCCCGCCCCTCCCCCCGCCGAGGCTGGGGCGAGTGGAGGCAGCGCTGTGCATTGTGGGTGGCGAGCGGCTGATTCGGATTCCCGCTCGCGGCCACCGTCGCTGCTGAAGCGGCGGCTCGCTGGCTGGTCCTCCTCTACATCGACTCAGCCCGAACAAGGTGAGAACCTTGCACGGTGTGGACACATCAGCAGTGGCGGTGGTGGAGAGGGGAGGCAGAGGAGGCGCCTGGCTCACAGCCGTTACGCTCTAGGCGCCTGCTGAGTTCACGGCGCTGCTCCAAGCAGAGCGCGGCCTGCTGCTGATGATGATGATGAGGAGAGGCACTGCCAGATTGTGGCTGATGGGTTGAGTTACATTTAGTTCTTTTGTATCTGGAGGGACGGATTTGTTGTCGTGGCAGAAATGGCCTCCACTAGAGGCCGCGATGTGGGGTATTTGGTCTACTCTTCCACGCTGGTCCAGACCCGTTGGAGCGAGGTGGGTGTACCCACAACTTTACCCTCCACACGCGGGGGGCGTCAGCTCACTGCACTTGCAATGCAGAGGTGCAGGTTCGAGTCCATTTCACACTCAGTCATTCACCCACCCACTCACCCACCCACAGAGGGATAAAGACCCTTTATGCAGTGGTTGTGTAGTATCTGCATCAATGTTTTTGTTGTTTAGTTATGGTGGTTGTTGTTGTGGTTGCGGTTATAATCTTGGCTTTAGTTTTGGTTGTATAGGTGGTTGTAGTGTTGGTTGTAATTGTGGTTGCTCTGGTTGTGGTGCCTTTGGTGTTTTTGGTTGTGGTTATAATTGTGGTTGAGTAGGTTGTGGTTATATGTGCGGTTGTGGTGTTTGTGGTTATAACTTGATTTGAAGCTTTGGTGACTGCAGGAATTACTCTCTGGTTCTTTCTGTAAAGTCACGTAGAAAGAAAATAAATTAAATAATAGAGTACGACGTTGCGATTGCAACACAAGCAACCGTCATCAGGTAGAATAAAATTTGAGAGAGAGACAAAACACAGACACGGAGACACACAGACAGACACACAAGCAGAGAGATGGTGGTGATGGTGGTGGTGGGTGGTGGGTGGTGGTGGTGGTGGGGGTGGTGGTGGCGGTGGTGGGGGGCGGTGGTGGCGGTGGTGGTGGTGGTGGTGGTGATGGTAATGATGGTAATGATGGTGGTGGTGATGGTGGTGATGGTGGTGATGGTGCTGCTGCTAATCATGATGATGCTGTTGGCTCCAGGTCCCACCACCGATGGGCGCTGCCGGTGCGTCGTCTCTGGTTGACGCTGCTCAACAAGGAGCAGCTTCACTCCACGTTCCTGCGCTACTCACTCACTCACCCACTCCCTCACCCACTCACTCACGGACCCACTCACTCAGCCACTCACTCACCCACTCACTCACTCACCCACTCACTCACTCACCAGCTTCACTCCACGTTCCTGCGCTACTCACTCACTCACCCACTCACTCACTCACCCACTCACTCACCTACTCACTCACTCACCAGCTTCACTCCACGTTCCTGCGCTACTCACTCACTCACTCACCCACTCACTCACTCACCCACTCACTCACTCACTCACCCACTCACTCACCCACTCACTCACTCACCAGCTTCACTCCACGTTCCTGCGCTACTCACTCACTCACCCACTCACTCACTCACCCACTTACTCACTCACCAGCTGCACTCCACGTTCCTGCGTTACTCACTCACTCACTCGCTCACCCACTCACTCACCAGCTTCACTCCACGTTCCTGCGCTACTCATTCACTCGCAGGCGGCCACAGCACGAGGTGAGCTCACTCACTCACCCACTCACCCGCATACTCATCCACTCGCTCGCTCGCTCACCCACTCACTCGCTCAGCCACTCGCTCGCTCACTCACTTGCTCACTCACCCACTCACTCACCCACTCACTCACCCACTCACTCAGCCAATCACTCGCTCGCTCGCTCACCCACTCACTCGCTCAGCCACTTGCTCGCTCACTCACTTGCTCACTCACCCACTCACTCACCCACTCACTCACTCACCCACTCACTCACTCAGCCAATCACTCGCTCGCTCACCCACTCACTCACTCAGCCACTCACTCACTCGCTCACTCACTCGCTCACTCACTCGCTCACTCACTCACTCACCCAGCCACTCACTCACTCTCTCGCTAGCTCGCTCACTCACTCATTCACTCACTCACTCACTCACCCACTCAGCCACTCATTAACTCACCCACTCAGCCACTCACTCACCCACTCAGCCACTCACTCAGCCAACTCAGTCCACTCACCCACCACCCTCACCCAACCTCAGTCCACCCCACTCAGATCCACTCACTCAACCCCACAGTCAGGCCAACTCACATCTTCACCTACAGTCAGCTCACTCACTCACTCCCACAACTCACCACCACTCCTCTCCCCACTCACTCACCCCACTCACTCACCCACTCACTCACCCACTCACTCACCCACTCACCTCACATCACACCCCCTGACTCACTCACCAGCTTCCACTCCACGTTCCTGCGCTATGCCCTCACTCGCTCACCCACTCACTCAGCCTCCCCAACCTCACCCACTTCACTCACTACACTCGCACCCACTGCACTCACCCACATCCACACCACATTCACCTCAACCCACTCACTCACTCACTCACCAGCCTTCACTCCACGTTCCTGCGCTACTCACTCACTCATCCAGTCACCCACTCACCTCACGCACCCACTGAGTCTACACTCACCAGCCCTGCACTCCAGCGGTTCCTGCGCTACTCACTCACCTTCACTCGCTCACCCACTCTACCTCACCAGCTTCACTCCACGGTCCGTGCGCTACTCATTCACTCGCAGGCGGCCACAGCACGAGGTGAGCTCACTCACTCACCCACTCACCCGCATACTCATCCACTCGCTCGCATCGCTCACCCACTCACTCGCTCAGCCACTCGCTCGCTCACTCACTTGCTCACTCACCCACTCACTCACTCACCACCACTCACTCACCCACTCACTCAGCCATCGCTCGCTCGCTCACCCACTCACTCGCTCAGCCACTTGCCTCGCTCACTCACTTGCTCACTCACCCACTCACTCACCCACTCACTCACTCACCCACTCACTCACTCAGCCAATCACTCGCTCGCTCACCCACTCACTCACTCAGCCACTCACTCACTCAGCCACTCACTCACTCGCTCACCCACTCGCTCAGCCACTCACTCACTCAGCCACTCGCTCGCTCGCTCAGCCACTCGCTCGCTCGCTCAGCCACTTGCTCACTCACCCACTCACTCACTCGCTCAGCCAATCACTCGCTCACTCACTCACCATCGCTCACTCACTCACTCACTCACTCGCTCACTCACTCACTCACTCACCCAGCCACTCACTCACTCTCTCGCTAGCTCGCTCACTCACTCACTCATTCACTCACTCACTCACTCAGCCACTCATTCACTCACCCACTCAGCCACTCATTAACTCACCCACTCAGCCACTCACTCACCCACTCAGCCACTCACTCACCCACCCACTCACCCACTCATCCACCCACTCAGCCACTCACTCACCCACCCACTCACCCACTCACTCACTCACCCACTCAGCCACTCACTCACTCAGCCACTCACTCACTCACCCACTCACCCACTCACTCACCCACTCACTCACCCACTCACTCACCCACTCACTCAGCCACTCACTCACCCACTCAGCCACTCACTCACTCAGCCACTCACTCACTCACCCACTCACTCACCCACTCACTCACCCACTCACTCACCCACTCAATCACTCACCCACTCACTCACCCACTCACTCACCAGCTTCACTCCACGTTCCTGCGCTACTCACTCACTCACTCACCCACTCACTCACTCACCCACTGACTCACTCACCAGCTGCACTCCACGTTCCTGCGCTACTCACTCACTCACTCGCTCACCCACTCACTCACCAGCTTCACTCCACGTTCCTGCGCTACTCATTCACTCGCAGGCGGCCACAGCACGAGGTGAGCTCACTCACTCACCCACTCACCCGCATACTCATCCACTCGCTCGCTCGCTCACCCACTCACTCGCTCAGCCACTCGCTCGCTCACTCACTTGCTCACTCACCCACTCACTCACTCACCCACTCACTCACCCACTCACTCAGCCAATCACTCGCTCGCTCGCTCGCTCACCCACTCACTCGCTCAGCCACTTGCTCGCTCACTCACTTGCTCACTCACCCACTCACTCACCCACTCACTCACTCACTCACCCACTCACTCACTCAGCCAATCACTCGCTCGCTCACCCACTCACTCACTCAGCCACTCACTCACTCAGCCACTCACTCACTCGCTCACCCACTCGCTCAGCACTCACTCACTCAGCCACTCGCTCGCTCAGCCACTCGCTCGCTCGCTCAGCCACTTGCTCACTCACCCACTCACGCACTCGCTCAGCCAATCACTCGCTCACTCAGCTCACTCACTCACTCGCTCACTCACTCACTCACTCGCTCACTCACTCACTCACTCACCCAGCCACTCACTTCACTCTCTCGCTTAGCTCGCTCACTCACTCACTCACTCATTCACTCACTCACTCACTCAGCCACTCATTCACTCACCCACTCAGCCACTCATTAACTCACCCACTCAGCCACTCACTCACCCACTCAGCCACTCACTCACTCACCCACCCCACTCACCCACTAATCCACCCACTCAGCCACTCACTCACCACCCACTCACCCAACTCACTCACTCACCCACTCAGTCCACTCACTCACTCAGCCACTCACTCACTCACCCACTCACCCACTCACTCACCCACTCACTCACCCACTCACTCACCCACTCACTCAGCCACTCACTCACCCACTCAGCCACTCACTCACTCAGCCACTCACTCACTCACCCACTCACTGGCACCCATCTACTCACCACTCACTCCACC